CCCCGCCCCGACGGGACCGGGGGAGTCGCTCCGGCCGGAGCTGCGGGATGGTGCGGGAATGGGGACAGAGGGAACAGTGGGACAGCCGGCAGCGGGAAAGACTGTCCCCACAGCCAAACCAGGGCCGGAAAGGCTCATTGAAGCCATCTCCCATCGATCACTACCGTGCGCCGTCTGAGAGCGTTCCCCTGGAAATGATAACTTTTACTTGCTCTCGAATGCCCTGCACTATTAAGCCCGAAAATGCCTTTATGAAGCATTTTCCGGTCAGATTTATTTATTAAAGGCAGTAGTCTCACTGTGCCCCACACTAAGGGCCCCAGAGGTGCAAACTCACAGTTGTAAGGCAGCTGCACTTTACAAGTAGAAACATTTAAGGTATCAATGAAGGAATTCATCAAAATACAAAGCACGCTATTTCAAAAAAGTAGCCAGACACTTTTTTTCCTGTAATAATTCAGAATAACAGCAACTTGACTGTCAAAACAAGATGAGAGGGAGAAAAGCTAAAGGAGACAGTGATAAGAGTCTTTTCTGTGCTCTTACAATCTCCTCACGAGGGCTAAGTATAATTAATACAAAAAAAAATTTAAAAAAATTAAAGAGGTTCCCACACCATCAGGAGGAATAGGTGATGACAGGCATAAGTGCACCCATTTGCTCAAGCAGTCATCACATGCTTCTGATCATAAGGCAAAAGCAACCAGACTGGAATTGCCACTTCTAGAGTTGTCTTGTTTTGGATCAGACAGCAACACGGCCCAAGGAATGGAAAACAAGATCTCAGTAACATCAAAAGGAGATGTCTCCTACTGACAGAACAGGATTATTAAGAGGCAGGCCATGCTAGAGGCAAGTCTTATGATACCAGACCCACTTTTATCTAACAAAGCTGGACTTCAAAAATTTTAAGTGCTTTTTTCCCTGCAATCTGCTTTCATCCAATTCTAGAGTAAAAGACAAGCAAGTGCTAAAGGAGTAGGAAAGTGGACTTTAAATTATGGTAATTCTAAGGTATATAAGCTCTGATCGGTTACAAATCATTATTTCATGATTTATACAGAAGAAAAAGCTGCATTTAGAAATGGAGGAAATAATTACTCTATTTTATTATGGTTTGGGGAGAAGATACCATGTTTTTGTTTTGAAACATTAGTGGATTTTGTTTTTAAACGCTTTGGATACATACAAATTTAGAATTGCAGGATAGTTTGGCTTGGAAGTGACCTTTAAATGTCATCTAGTCCAATCACCCTGCAATGAGCAGGGACATCTTCAGCTAGATCAGATTGCTCAGAGCCCTGCCACCATCAGTTTGGGTAACCTGTTACAAGATTTCATCACCCTTGCTGTAAAAAAATTAATTCCTAGCCTGAATATAGTCTGTCTGTCCAGTCTGGATCTATGCTCCTTTCTCATCCTACTGGAACAGGCCCTGCTAAAAAGTCTGTCCTCATCTTTCCTGGAAGGCTTCAATGAGGTCTTCACAGTCTTCTCTTCTCCAGGCTGAACCCCCCTAGCTGTCTCCTCCTTTCCCCATAGAAGAGGTGCTCCAGCCCTCTGATCATCTTTGCGGCCTCCTCTGGACCTGCTCCAACAGGTCCATGTCCTTCCCGTGCTGGAGACCCCAGAGCTGAATGCAGGACTGCAGGTGGAATCTCATGAACACAAAGTAGAGAAGCAGAATCACTTCCCTCAACCTGCTGTTCATGCTGCTTTTGATTCTTTTTGGGCTGCAAGTTCGCATTGCCAGCTCATGTCCAGCTTCTGATCCACCAGCACTCCCAAGTCCTTCTCCTCAGGGCTGTTGTCAATGCATTCAACTCCCAGCCTGTATGGACATCAGGGGTAGCCCTGAGCCCTGTACAGCATCTTGTACTTGGCCTCACTGACCCTCATGAGGATCCACTTTAACCCAGCTCTTCAGCTTGTCCAGATAGCTCATTTTTTCAAGTTCTATTTGGAAACAAAATTCTTGAACTTCTCAGAAAGGATGTATTTTTATTTCCTTTACATGGGAACATATAAGAAAATAGAAAAGAACCATGGTGTAACCATGGCTACTATGCTCATAATTTTATAGGCACAATGGAGCATTGTAGGGTCACTCTCATGGTTAATACACATGCATGAGTGCTTGAGGATCAGGAACTGAAGGCCCTTTTCCTTCTGTCCACTCAGTTGTATACCATGTATGTAACAAACCCAACAGTTGCTACAGCACAACATAAATTGTAGAATAAATAATGCCCCTGATAGGGCTGGTCACATGAAGCTCACCTGCCAGTCCTGAGGTCAGACAGAAGAACATGCCCAGTTAGGATGCAGTTTGAAACAAGTACACCAAAGTCACACCTGTTTAAATTCTGACAGCATGTCCCCAGACTTGCCCAGTTCCCACTGGAGTTTTGGCAGATCATTGTCACCAGAACTGCCTTGCTCTTGTTTGCCAGACAGTGACCCTTACAACTGAAGCCATTGTCCCTGCACGCCTTGTCACCCGCCATCCGCCCCTGGCTCGCCTCCCCCTGTGCAGCAACCCAGTCTTGCTGCTCCCTCACATGCACCTTCATCTGAAAGCTGACTTAGCACTTTAGGGATTTTGTTCACAGAGGTGCATTCATGTTGTTATGCCATGTCAGAGAGAGCAGCACAAAAAATATCCAATGGCAAATAAAGGGCAACTTTCTGTGAGTGGGAGGAAGTTCTGTATCAGCAAAGCTCTCTTATAATAAGAGCTTGTGAAGAATACTTTTTACTATCTGTAGCTGGCTAGGAGACTATGTCCCATCCTGGCAAGTGATGACATGGCCTCAGTAAAACATTACTTTGTCACTTCTTGGCTGAATTACAACAGTACAAAATAAGGGGATATGAAGTCATTTATGGCTCTCTTAATACCAGAATGCAGCAAGCCAGCTCCCAAGCAATCCAAGAAATTATCAAAGTGCTCTTGTTTTTTTCCTTATCTTCCAGGCAGTCAGTGAATTGGACCATTACACCCTGAAGATTCCCTGAAGGACTGTAATATTTGCTCCTTAACCACAGCCTGTTATCAGGCTTGGCACAAAAAAAGAGCTGTTTTTTTTGTTTAAAGAGCTGCAATTCTTTGCTTTAGTAGCAAATGTAGATAGCACAGCATTTGGAAGGAAATACACTTTAAATGAAAAATAAACAGCAAAAATTTCCTTTTGGTTTTGAAAAGAAGAAAGAGTTATAAGCAACAAATGGCAGCTGAGTACCTCCCTAAAAAGTGAACAGTATGAGGAATACGACAGAGATAGAAAAGGCACTCAACAGAACAGATGGAAGTGGATCTGGCAGGGGATCTCCAGGAACCAGAAGGAGTTTTGTTACTGGTGTTAAGGGAGTGGCATTAACTACAATTAATAGAGCACTTCAGATATAGAAGTATCACAAGTTCTGCAGCTACAGACTGCTTGATCTTTGAGAGTAATTTATGTTTAAGACTTTATTGCCACTGTTAAATCACAGGATTCAAGGAGCTGAACTTGCAGCCTTTCTGGAAAACCCCCTGGAGACAAATACAGACTTTAGCCTTGTTCAGTATATATTTGTCCTGTGTTTGCTGGAAGCACCTCTACAGACATATATTCCTTGTAGGAGTAGCAGCACAGACATGCTAAACATCACACCCAAATTAATGGTCTCTGCTTAAAAAAGTCCAGAGAGCTTTTTCTCACCCGGAATAAAAAATGACTTCAACAATATAAAAGCATCTCATTTTTCAAGGCTTTTCTTTTGTTTCTGGACTCCACTTCCTGTACTCCAGTGATCCACACCCTCCTGCTGTTGTACACACTATGTAGTTGCAAGCTGGCTTTTTAAGTACATTTTGGGACAAAGCATGTAATATAGCATATAATCTTAGCCAGCCAAATATTTTAAGCCTGCACAGTTACACATTTAGTGATGGGCAGTTCAAAAGAAAATGATGTTACATATTATGTCACAAATGTAGTCAGTGTTACAGATACAAATTTTACCCTTGAAATATATTCAGTCAGAAAGACTCCCCACGCCTTGTAATATTTCCCTTTGCCAAGATAAAACTTGGATGAGCTGTACATTACTGGAATGGCTTTAAAACCAACTGCAGGCAGAAATTATTTATAAGTTGTTCAGAGCTAAAAAGTCTTTTGCTACATGGTGTTCTGACACAGCACAATGCTGGCATAAAGCTCTCCTCAACAGGACCATGACCTTCAAAATGACTGCACACAATCCTGCGCTGGCTGTCATCCACTAACACAGGAGTGTTTGCTCTCCTGTAGTCTCACTGAAAGCTAACAATAATACTTTACACAAAAGTGCTGCCACTAAAGCAGGACTACTCATCAGCATCAATTGCAGCACACAAGTAAGGGCTGGGAAGGAAGGCCACATAGTAACTCCCTGGTTACACAGCTGAACACTTGGGGTCTGGCCTAAAGCTTTAATGTACATTTTACATCAGTGCAATTCCCCAAAACCGCATGTTTTTACATGTTAAACATCTAACTAATGCTGCTGAAAGTAATGCTGCTTTCTCTTCACAGAAGAGAAAGATTTTTCATCTTTTTTTTCAGTAGAATACTTTAGGTGTCTCTTTGCAACATCAGGTTACACATAAATTTTCCCATATACAGATAAAGGCCTGTCTTTCAGTCCTGGCTGGCATTTAGTTCACCAATATCTATTTTCTAATGTCATGCCTCCAGTTCCTTTCTCTGAGAGGTCATGCAGCTCAACCCAGAGGAGCTGGCCAGCCTCAGCTGTGTCACAGTCAGATGGGGCAGAACTGCCCTCAATTCCTCCAGCAAACACTCAGCAGGTTTCTCTGCTCTGCTGATACATTTTAACCTTGAAGTGCTAAATGCCTGTTGTGTAAAAGATACAGGTCACTTCCTTTAGTGAGATTTTTTTTTTTCTAAATAAATACTTCTAGTGAACGATGAGTGAGAATCCTGTTGACTCTGGAACAAAAATATGTATAAAACCTTCTGCTATTGGATTTCCTTCTATTCATTGGTTGTGGGTAATGGGTGCTATATAGAAACAATAATTTTTTCAGTTCAGGACAGATGTCCCAGTTCCAGAGAGGATATCCACTCCTATTAATTTTATACATTAAATAAACACACATCCAATAATATATCTACAAAATATTACATTAAATGATGTAAAATTTCAGTATGTTCTGAAATAATTGTCTGATCCTGCACTAATTTCTTTGCAGTAGCAGGACACACCATCTTACATTGTAAATCCAGCCTGCATACTGATAGACTGTCACAAGTCCTGTTTTCCTTCTAATAGCTAAAAACACTAAAGCAGAATCTCATTCTTGCTTTCATTTGCTAGCTGCTTTTTACCCCCTTTAATGCTCTACTTTCAGTTTCTTTTTTCCCTGTTAGAAATCACCTCTCAGATCAACTTAATAATCTAACACTTGCTTACAAAAAGTGATTTAATTAAGGAGTGAATCCATGCTGAACATTCTGCAATGCACATAAGTATGTGAACTGCAGCTTTAGAAACAGTAAATTATTGACTGTAAATGAAACTTATGTTCCGTGAAAGAACTCCTCCTGAAGTTAAAAAAAAATTTCCAAATATCCTGTCCCTTCAGGAAAAACTCAGCACTTGGAATAATTTTAATGGATTTACTAGCAAATATTCCACTCACATACAGTGTAACCATTTTTTCCTTTTACCCTTTATTTCTTTACATATTTACATTACTTAAAAATATGTGAAATCCATTCAAGCCCACTTTAAAAATACATTAGCAGGTTTTTAAAACTGATTTTGCAGTTTTTAGTGGCAGTACCCACACAGCATCAGCACAGAATTTAAAATTACAGAGTTTCAACAGAGGTAAGTTTTCACACACCTTTCCAAGCCCTTTATTATAGAGGGACAGCATTACAAACAAATCCATCTGCTGTGGTACCACTGTTCTCCACATCCATTACAAATAACGTACGTCAACATTTGTTCATCTGGGTTTGTGTTTCTTACCCAAGCTGGAAGGAAGAGAGTTCCCCTGGCAATCATAGTGACAGTGCAATCAAATTTTTCACAGCGCCTGCACTTTATTTTGTTTGTCTGTGTGCCATTAATCACCTGTGGAAGCTGATGTTCCTGAACAGACGATTTTGTGTACAGAGCCCTGAGCTGTTTCAGTTCATCACTGGCCATTTCCATCACTGTCATCTCAGCAAAAGCCTTTGGGCTCAAAGTTCCTGAAAAAAGGTTATGCTTTAAGTGGCAACTTTTAGGGTTCTTAAGGTTAGAGATTTTACTTCTGATGCAATTTTTATACTTTTTATCATTTTTAGCATGAAGAGCAAAAATATGTTTTTCAATTTCTTTAGCTAACTCTAGCCATTTAACAGTTTCTTCTTCATCCTTGGCAGAACCAATCAAAGCTTTGTAAAGAAGATCCACACACTTACACCTCAGAGCTTTCATCAGATCCTGCTGCAGACTGGCTTCGCTAACAACAGATTCAGAATCTTCATCAACACTGTGTTGTTCCTCGGAAGAAGAATGCTGATTAATACTGCCTTCTGCATTGCTATGTACCACATTTTTAACAGTCTGTGATGGGACCAAAGTGTTGGAATTAGTACCATCTAACGCCTCCTGCTGACATGGTCCTTCAGACAGCAACTGCTCTCTAGGAACTACATTGAGATGCTCAATTTCTTCTTTCAGATCCACAGAAACGGACTTTTTAACTTGCAATGACTGAGCACAGTTATTCTTGTAAAGTGTTTTCCACCTTGACAATAACTGCTTTGCTTTCTTTTTCAACTCTCCTGAAGGGCAGCTCTTGAGTACTCTATATACAGCCTTGGTAACTTCTGTCCCCTGGAGATATTCTACAGTCATATCAACATCTGCAAGTTCTTTAAGATGATCCTCAATATCTTGCAAATTGTTCTCAGACAGCAGGGTTTCAATACAATGGGCTCTGTGTACAATATCTTTCAGATCAGACATTTTTAAACCTGGAAACAAACAAAAAGATCATCACCTTTCCAACAATTACAACATTAATTCACCTTCTGTATATTCACACAAGATCTTCTTTTCATTTTTTTGCTATTTTACACTATTTTGTTTGTATATATCACTGGGTTTCCCACCATTTTCTTAAAAACACCATTCTGGTTCCTACATGTCCCTCAACTGTTCACTTGCTATACAAGAAGAGATCATCTCTTTCAGGAGTTTCTCCTTACAGCTATCAGAGAAGCAAGTCAGAGTCTGAGGTCCCATTGCTGCCCTTCCCCTTGCTAGCTCTGGCATCACATTACAGATGGATTATCAAGATGGGGCAGCTCAAAAACAATGACACCTGCAGTCTTTCAAAACACTGACATCTACAAACTTTGAAAATTCTCAAAGGTTAAAGACAGATCCCTCTATATTTTCTTGCAGCTGTAGCATTATTAAAGCATGCTCCCATAGTCTCACACATAAAGGAAAATCAAAGGGGCTCTTCAGAATGCAGAATCTCATGGTTTCAATAGTATTTCCTTTTGATTCCTTTTCATTAAGCCCTTTGATTAAAAAATGTTCAGTGCATTGTTACTGAAAATTCACATGCAAAAAATAATTTTATATTCCTAACAGTATTCATCCTCTTGCTGAAAAGGAGAATCAAATGTAGAATGCAGAAAGGAATGGTGTGTTTTAAGTGTTGTGTTCTTTTCCACAGTTAGTCTTCTAAGTTTATGCACAAAATCCTTGTTTTGTCTGAAATTGCATCCATCCTGATTCTACTCCAGAAAAACTCCTCTACCTGACAGAGACAAGGCTAGCTACACACATCTCTATGGGAAGAAGTCACAAGCTGGTTACTTGCAGCATCAATGTTTCCATGATGAACACTCCTGAGAACAGGGGTAGGGAAGGGACAAGAGATACAGCTGGGTAATTTATACACTGTTTCTATGACCACCACCAGCTAACTTGTCCTTACATGACCAAAACAAGTTCAACCTTTAGGTAGGACCTCAGAGCTCCACAAAAGAGAAGGACAGAGAGGATAAGACTTCATTTTTTTCTATAGGAACAGAACCAACCCATCCTCCAGAGTAAATGTTCTGAGCATTCCCTTAAGCTGTATTTAAACACTTGTCTTACATTCTGAAGTCCTGCAAAACCTCAATAATGGCGATTTCAGAAACCAATTTATTACTCAAGAAGTTTCAAACTCAGAGAAACAGGATGTCGTTTTCACAGACTTAAACTGAGCCCTTGGCATCATCGTACTAAAAAGAATGTCAGTGCATCCACTCCTCTGTTCTGCTACAGGAACACAGAGGCTGTGAACAGAAGGAAGAGCTTTGTCATGTAGGAGAGCCAAGATAAAGCAAGAACAGTTCCCTGTCTCCAGAGTACCCAGAGGAAGAAACTTGAAATTACTGATGCCGTGGTAATACTGCAGTGTATTTTCTAGCCAAAGCTCATTGGGAACCCAAGTATAGCAAGCCTGAGTCCTTCCCTGCTCAGACTCCTGTTCTTTGAACTCTGATGTTTCTGTTATAAATCAGATAGAATAGTAAGTTGGGAGAAGTCTCAAAACCTTTTAAAGAGAATGCAAATGTATCACAGAAATCAAGCTGCAATTCCAAATGGCAAATTATTCTACCACTTGAGGGAGCTGTGGCATAGCAAACCCATGGAATCTTGTGAAATGTGAATGAAAAACTCCAGCCTCTGAAGAAAAGAGATAAAATGACTACGCTATGAACTTTAGTAGACTTCACATTTTTAAGGTACATGTTTGCCTAATTTTGGCAAACAAACCATGCAGAGTCCATAGATGCTGGGATACAGACAGGAGGGAAAGAGTATATCCCTTATCCAGTTACTGTCTGTATGCTGTGCTTTGATTTTTTTAATTTGGAATTTGACCGCTTTTCTACCTGATTTAATGCAATTTGACAAATGCTGCTGAGCAAATATTTATAAAATTAACTGAATCGAACTCAGTCAGCACTGTTCTGCAGTTCAGCAGTGTTCCTAATTCTAAGAGACAAGAAATCTGAGAAAGACTAGTTTTTTTCCTAAGTTACGAAATGAATCATGCATCTTTGTTAAGGTGGAGCTGTAAGAAAAAGAAAGAACAAATGATAGTGTCACAATTTTGTGCAGTAGAAAACAAACACCCTCAACCCTCCCACAACTGCACAGGGCATTTCAGTTTAGCAGTGACAGAATCACAGAATGGTTAAGGCTGGAAGGGACCTTAAAGAACACCTAGTTCCAACCCCCTGCAATGGGCAGTGATGCCATTTACTAGACTTGGTTGCTCAGAGACCCATCTAACCTGGCCCTGAATACTCCCAAGGATATGGCAGCCACATCTTCTCTGGGCAACCTGTTCTAGTGCCTCACCACCCTCTGCATAAAGAACTTCTTCCTAATATTTAATATAAATCTGCCCTCTGTCAATCTAAAACCATTCACATTTGGTCTGGCACTATCTACCCATATAAAAAGTCCCTCTCCCTCCTTTTTATAAAGACCCTATGGTACTGGAAAGCCACAGGAAAGCTTCCTCAAAGCCTCCTTTTGTCCAGGCTGACCAAGTCCAGCTCTCTCAGCCTGTCTTCATGGGAGAGGTGCTTCAGCTCTCTGAGCATCTTTGTGGTCCTCCTTTGGTCCTGCTCTAACAAGTCCATGTTTTTCTGGTGCTGGACCCCACAGCTGGATGCAGCACTCCTGGTGGGGTCTCATGAGGGCTAAGTAGAGGGGGAGAATCCCCTCCCTTGACCTGCTGGCTGGGCTGCTTTGGATGCAGCCCAGGGTGCCCCAAGCCCTTCTCTGCAGGGCTGCTCTCAGTGACTTCTTCTCCCAGTCTGTCTGGGACTGCCCTGACTCAGGTGCAGCACCTTACCCTCGGCCTTGTTGAACCTCAGGAGGTGCTCACAGGCCCAACTCCTCAAGTTTGTCCAGGTTCCCCTGGATGGCATCCTGAGCTGCTGTGGTATCATCTGCAAACTTGCTGAGGGTGCACCAATGCCACTGCCCATGTCACTGATGAAAATATTAAAGGGTGCCAGTCCCATGAGAGTCCCATGGACTCACTCACCACCAGCCTCTACCTGGACATAGAGCCACTGACCACGACTCCCTGGCTGCATCCATCCAGCAACTCCACATCCACTGAATATGAATGAGTCCATCCATAAAACCCATGTCTCTCCAATCTGGAGACAGGGATGTTATGAGGGACTATAACAAAGGCCTTACAGAAGTCTAGATAGATGACAAGGGAAGTCAGTCTTCCCTTGTCAACCCTTGCTATCACTCTATCATAGAATGCCACCAGCTCACTCAGGCATGACTCACCATTAGTAAAGCCATGCTGGCTACCTTGAATTGCCCTCCTGTCTCTTATGTGCCTTAGCACATCTTCCAGGAGGCTTTTCTAGGCACAGAGATGAGCCTCAACAGTCTGTAGTTCCCTGGATCTTTCTTTCTCTCCTTCTTAAAAATGGAAGCGACATTTCCCTTTTTCCAGTCACCAGGGACTTCACCTAACTGCTATGACTTTCCAAATATGCATGAGAACATTAGTTTGAATTCCAAGCTACACTGAAGGTTACAAGGCTCATATTTACAATGAGACTCTGTAATGCTGTGCTGATGAGGCACTTTCTTGCCAAATCATTACAAGCTCTCACTCTGACTGCACGGTATAATGAGTCACTTGTGTGTACAAGAATAAATGATGACAATCAATAAAAAACTTGTAAGCCAGTTTGCTTCAAAAAAAAAACAACAACAACAAAAAAACAAACCCAAAACAAACCCATCAGGCTACCTCAGGTTTAAAATATGGTGATCCTGTAATAATACCAAGTTGAATCAGAACATTTTTAAACAGTAAAATGACTAAGTAAGAGAAAACCAACAAACAAACAAACAAAAAACACAATCCAGGCCAAGACACTTGCTGTTAAGTGTAAACTCAGTCCCTGGGAAAAACACTGCCCTCTCCAAAAGCATTTGGGATAAATGCTTTGTCTTTGCTTTACACCTTATCTTGTACAAATCCATTGTCCATTTTGTCTTAACCCTGAAAAACCAAGACAAACTCAGAATGCATCCAAGCAAGTGTGCATGAATGTCTCTGAAGGGTGAACACCTGTCCTTTTCTCCCTCATCCCAACCTCCACTGCAGGTGAGATTTTCTCCAAGAAATTCTATGTAATTGGGAAAAAAATCCAGACCACAGTCCAGATAAGAATCAGAAGACAAGTACTCCTAACATTGTGTCCTGGTGTCCTTTGGGGTAGAGTTAATTTCCTTCACAGTGGCTCACATGGGGCTGCACTCTGGATTTGTGCTGAACACAGGCTGATAATATGGAGAAGCTTTTATTACTGCTGAGCAGGGCTTACACAGAGCCAAGGCCTTTTCTGCCTTTCCTACTGCCTTGCAGGCAAGGAAGTTGGGGGTGCATGGGAGACTGGGAGGAGAGACACAGCTGGGACAGACGACCCCAACTGACCAAAGGATATTCCAGACCATCTGCCATCATGCTCAGTGTATAAAGTGGGGGGAAGAAAAAGGAAGGGGGGGGGACAGTCAGAGTGATGGATTTTGTCTTCGCAAGTCTCTGTGACACATGGTAGGCTCTTCTGGAGATGTCTGAACACCTGCCTCCCCCATGGGAAGTAGTGAATGAATTCCTGGTTTTGCTTTGCTTATGTGTGCAGCTTTTACTTTTCCTATTAAACTGTGTTTATCTCAACCCAGGAGTTTTCTGGTTTTTATCCTTCTGATTCTCTCCCCAGTCCTGCTGCTGGGGCTGTGGGGTTTGGGGTTAAACCATGACACAGGGGAATAAATGTTCTGCAAACATTGTGTTAAAAATGTTAATGCTACAGCAGAGATAGTGCATAGCATAGTCCTAGAAACACCAGCTTATTCTGGGCAACCTAAATCCCAGATAAATAATGAAAATTACTGAATGTTATTTTAAATTCAA